AGGTCATAAGGTAAGATGACCCAACCTTCTCACCTGGTTACAAATCTTCTTAATCACAAAATTATCCAGTTTGTACTGTAGTGGATTTCTTCCCTACAAACGCTGTTTGTCGCTGAGTAGCCGATCCCGCTAATTCCCCAGTGTATGCCTCGTGGTCTAGGTCAACCAGCGCCGCCTTACATGACGGAGATCAACTACTAAGCCACGCCTACCTCCGCTATTTAAGACCTGACCTCGTGGTGACCTGTCCCTTTTCTACCTACACCAACCAGCCAGCAACACACCCTCCTCCTCCGCCTGCCTGGCGATTCTCGCTCCCGCCGGAGAACATGGCGACCCACAAGCTGGTCCTCCTCTGAGCATCCTCACCAACCAGCTCTCTCTACTCAATGCTTGCAGCCAGCCATACCCCTGAAATAAAGTGACCCCCGGAGATTCGCACTCACACAGGATGGAGGAGAAACAGATCACGCTCCCAGTCTTCAAGCAACATGGAAGACTGACCTATCCACCCAGAAGCAGCTCTCATCGGCTCTACAGCTACTGTCTCTAAACTGCAGGTTAGACACCCTAGAGCAGCACTGCTTCTCTAAGCAGACACCAGCTCCTCTTCCTGCCCCAAACACCACGTCCTACCCTACCGACCCCAGCACACCCGTCCTGCCTCAGACGCCGCCCCCGGCCCAGCAGTACCCCCTACCGCTCCTCCTGATGCAGCCCCTGCTCCCGACGCGGCCCATGCGCCTGAGTGCGGACCCACACACCCCTCTTTTCTCCCTCAGGTACTCCCTGCTAATGTCCTGCACCCTACAGCTGTCGTGGACCCAGCTGCTGTCACGAGCCCTCATCCACTTCTGCTGACGCAGCCCCTGCTCCTGACCCAGGCCCACACACCCCAGCAAGCACATCTGACGACTCTGTACCTGCCGTGAGGGAAGCACAACATTCATCGCCTCCACACACCCTTTTTCTCCCTCTCTACTCCCACAGATATTGTGTATCTAGACAGTTGTCTCCTCTAGCGGCCGGTTCATCCACGCCATCGCCGTTATGGCTCACATGTGGCATGCACTGCCCGTTCTGCCTCGCATGTGCCATGCAACCCTGCAGACAACAAGTCTCCTACACCGCCTGGAGGGAAGGAGGGAGTACTGTAGTGGATTTCTTCCCTAAAAGCGCTGTTTGTCGCTGAGTAGCCGACCCCGCGAATTCCCCAGTGTATGCCTCGTGGTCTAGGTCAACCAGCGCCGCCTTACATGGCGGAGGTCAACTATCAAGCTACGCCTACCTCCGCTATTTAAGACCTGACCTCGTGGTGACCGCTCTCTTTTCTACCTACACCAACCAGCCAGCAACACCTCCTCCTCCTCCGCCTGCCTGGCAGTCCTCGCTCCCGCCGGAGAACATGGCGACCCACTAGCTGTCCTCCTCTGAGCATCCTCACCAACCAGCTCTCTCTTCTTCTAGCTACAGCCGCAGCAAGC